AAAAAACACCCCCAACAATCTAACATGTTATTAGACCATAATAAAGCCTCCCATCACTCGAACATATTATTAGACCATAAGAGACCCCCATCACTCTAACATGTTATTAGACCATTACAGAGCCTCCGCATCACACTAACATGTTATTAATCCATTAATGAGCCCCCCATCACTCTAACATATTATTAGACCATAAGAGACCCCCATCACTTTAAGATGTTATCAGACCATGATAGACCCTCCCAACTCTCTAATATGTTATTAGACCATGACAGAGCCCCCCCATCACTCTAACATGTTATTAGACCATTATAGAGCCCCCATCACTCTAACATGTTATTAGACCATTATAGAGCCCCCATCACTCTAATATGTTATTAGATCATGATAGATCCCTCTCCCCCCGAGGACGCCGATCGCCGTTACCATGGTGATCCTTGGGTGTTTTATTTCTTTCTCCGATCCCCAGACGCAGGCAGATCTTCGGCCACCCGCATCACCGCGACCCGGAAAGGACCCCCGACGGTTTTATCCACGTGACCGCAAGTTGCCTTGATTTTGAATGGGAGAGATCGGCCATCTTTGTTAAGGGACAGTCTCGGACTTGGGCCGGCCATCTTGGTAAGGGAGCTCGTCGTTTGTTCGACCGGGCACCTTCGTTTAAGCCTTTTCCCCCATGGGAAAAGGGAGGGGAAGGTCGCACGGCCATCTTGGTCATGGAGTGGCCCTGGCCGCCATCTTGGCCATGCCAAACCGTGGCCCCGCCATATTTGTAAAGGGGACCGCAGCGGTATTGAAAGTAGACGGAGCAGGCTTGGTGGAACCTACTCTCCACCCAGTTCACCCATCTGGTCACCTTGTTTACCAATCTGATCAATCAGTCTGCGAGTTTACACCGTTTTGTTGAGGATGCTATTGTACTCAGCAATAACCTGCACACAAATACTCAGAGACAATAAAGACCGCAGATGCTGGAAACCAGAGTCTATAGGTGTCAGGTTGGAAAAGCTCAGCTGGTCAAACCTTCAGGGGTTTCGGCCCAAAACGTTGGCTTTCCTGCTCCTCGCATGCTGTCTGACCTGCTGTTCTTTTCCAGCTTCACACCTATAGACACAAATACTCAGTTTGGGTTCCAAGAAGGCCATTCAGCTCTTGACCTCATTACAGCCTTGGCCTGATTGTGGAAAAGAGAGTTGTATAGCAGAGGTGAGCTGAGAGTGTGTGAAGTGAGAATGAGCGCTCTTGACTTCATGATGGCTTTTGACCGAGTATGGCATCAAGAAGCCCCAGCAAAATGAAAGTCAATGTGAATAAGGGGGCAAGCTCTCCAGTGGTTGGAGTCATACCTGGCACAAGGGAGGACAGTTGTGGTTGTTGGAGGCCAATTACCTCAGCTCTGAGCTCCTCAGGATAGTGAGCTAGACCCAAATATTTTCAGTTGCTTCACCAATGGCCTTCACTCTACCAGAAGATCGGAATGCTAATGACTTTACAATATTCTGCACCATTTGCAAGTCCTAGACACCATGCCCAAATCCAGCAAGACAGGGCTCGGTAAGTGGTAAACAAAATTTGTGCACAAAAATGCCAGGAAATGACTATCTCCAACAAGTGAGAATCTACCACAGCCCTTTGTGTGACCATTAACCAGAAACTGATCTGGAGCAGATCCATAAATTCTGTGGCTACAAGAGCAGGTCAGAGTCATAGAGTTATTAAGCATGGAAACAGATTCTTCGGTCCAACCAGTCCATGCCAACCATATTCCCAAACAAAACTAATCCCACCTGCCTGTGCTTGGACCATATCCCTCCAAACATTTCTTATTCATGTACTTACCCAAACATCTTTTAAACATTGTAACTGTACCTGCATCCACCGTTTCCTCTGGAAATTCACTCCACACGCAAAGCACTCTCTATTTTAAAAAAATGTATTTTATAAATCTTTCTCCTCTCACCTTAAAAATGTGCCCCCTAGTCTTGAAATCCCTCTCTCTATGGAAAAGAAACCTGCCATTCACCTTATCCATACCCATCATGATTTTATAAACCTCTGTAAGGTCACCCATCAACCTTCTATGTTCCAGTAAAAAAAAGTCCCAGCCTTATAACTCAAACTGTCCATTACCAGCAACATCCTGGTTAATCTCTTCTGAACCTTCCCCAGCTTAATAATATCCTTAACAAATTGAACCCCATCTGCATGTTCTCAGTTACAATGTTTCAAAGGCATTTAGATAAGTACATGAATAAGAAATGTTTGGAGGGATATAGGCCAAATGGAGGCAGGTGAAACTGGTTTAGTTTGAGATTATGATCGGCATGGACTGATTGGACCGAAAGGTCGATTTCGTCACTGTATGACTCTATGACCCAACTGATAAAGATCTCTTTGTAATCTTAGATAACCTTCTTCATTGTACACTATATCATCAATTTTGGTGTCATCCGCAAACTTAATAACCATGCCTTTTATATTCTTATCCAAATCATTTATGTAAATGACAAACAAAAGTGGACACAGCACTGATCCCCGTGGAACACCACTGGTAGCAGTCCTCCAGTCTGGAAAACAATCCTCCACCATCACTCTGTCTCCGGCCATTAAGCCAATTTTGTATCCAATTGGCAAGCTCACCCTGAATCCTATGTGATTTATCTTTACTAATTAGTTTACCATGCAGAACCTTGTCAAAGGCTTTACTAAAGTCCAAGTACACAATGTCTACTGTTCAGCTCTCATTAATCTTCTTGGTTACTGCTTCAAAAAACTCAATAAAGATTGTGAGATATGATTTCCCTTGCACAAAACCATGTTAACTATCCGTCATCATTCCTTGCCTCTCCAAATGCATATAAATCCTCTCGGGACCCTGCTGTGAATAACTCACCTCCTGACTCCCTAGAGCCTACCCACTATCCAAAAGTAAGAACTGTGATGGAACACTCCACACTTGCTTGGATGAGTGCAGCTCGAATAAAACTCAAGACTCTTTGCACAAAGCAGACTGTTTGATTAGCACCACATCCATAAGCATTCACTCCCTCCACCACTGACACTCAGTAGCAGCAATGGATATCATCTACAAGATCTACGCTGGAGAGTTTTACCATTTGAAGTCTCAATGTGTGAGTCTGTGGAGCTGGGACCAGCTCCTGCTCTCTTTATCTCCATCTCTCCATCCCCACCTCTCTCTCTACCTCTCTATCTATTTATCTGTCCTCATCTCTTTCCACATCTTTCTGTCTCGATATCTTGATCCTCATCTCTATCTCTACCTCTCCATTCACATTACTTTATCTTCCTACCTTCAACTTCATCCCCATCTCTCTATCTCGATAACTCCATTGATTCCCAACTCTCTCTCTGTCGCTCTCTAAATCTATCTATCTATGTACCTATCTATCTATATCACTCCACCTCCTTTCTCCTTTTGTTCTGATTATTCCAATTTCTCTTTGCTTTTCCATCTTTCTTTCTCCTAATCTTCCTTTGGTTTGTTCTACTGTCCTTCACATCTCTGTCTTTCTCCACCACTCTCATTGTCCAACTTCTTTTCCTCTCTTCCTTTCCTTGCCATAGATCTCTCCTGTCTTTGAAGATGGTGAGTGTGTGTTGGTAGCGTGGAGATGGTGAACATGTGTTTGGGATGTGGAGCAGGTGAGTGTGTGTTGGAGGTTCAGAGATGGTGAGTGTGTGTTGGGGGTTTTGATATGATGAGTGTATTGGGTGTTTGGTAATGGTGAGTGTGTGTTGGGGATTTAGAGATGGTGGTTACGAAGGCAATTTGCATGCTTGCCTTCATTGCTCACACACTTGAGTATCAGAGTTGAGATGATAAGTT